ATGATGGGCATTAATTTTTGTTCGATAGTATTTAAAACTTTTTTAGGGGCTTCCCTGGTGGCGCAGTGATTGAGAGTCTGCCTGCTGATGCAGGGGACACGGGTTCGTGCCCCGGTCCAGGAAGATCCCACATGCCGCGCAGTGGCTGGGCCCGTGAGCCATGGCCACTGAGCCTGCGCATCCAGAGCCTGTGCTCCGCAGCGGGAGAGGCCACAACAGTAAGAGGCCCGCATACCACAAAAAAAAAAAAAAATACATTCAGAAAAAAATTTACATCCATCAACATGCATATGCCTGGATTTCCCACTAAACCAAATGGACACCAAACTACTGTAGTGGGCAGAGAAAAATTAACTATTCCTCAAACATATTTCATTGTCTTTGGCACAGAGACCATATTCCCCATTCTCCCTTGAAATCAGGTGTGGACTGGCCAATAAAATGTGGACAGAAGTGGTCGATGCCACTTGGAGGGCTGGCCCATAAAAACCTCAGGCATGACCCTGCACTCCTCTCTTCCACAACCTGCCAGTTGTATGCTGATGTCCTGACTGATCTTGGAAACCACGTACTGATAGTAGCAGAGCCCCAAGATCCTGGGGCTCTGAATGACTAAGTGCAAAGAGCACACTCAAGACACCATCACAAAGCCGGGACTTTAAATGAGAAAGAAACGATTTCTATTTTGTTAAGCCACCAAAATGTCACAGGTTTATTCATTTGTTCCAGTACTTAGCTTTACCTGAACTAACATGTCTGCTGACAATTTAATCTCACTTACAAACAGAAAAATTCAGTGTTTAGCTATCTCTCTCCCCTCACTAAATTCCAAAGGCTTACAGATCTTCACGTCCTAGTTCACTTTTTCAGTGAGCCTTCTCAATTTTGCTCCTCTGCTGAAATGATATCAAATTTCTCTGTACTGATATAATGAGCTTTAGCACGCCCCTAAATATTAACATTGATCCTATTTCTGCACTTATGTCTAAGTAACAGCCCCTGGAAACATGCTTCCTTTTAGAAGGAACAAAAAATAGTCAAACAAAAATTCGCAAAAGCAAATCATCAAATAAAAGATTTGACTGAACAACAAAAAAAGCCCTTTTAAAATACTTCTGCTCTTCATTCTGTCAACATTTACCAAACAGTTATTAAGTGTCTGGGATACATCAGTTAATAGTAAAAAACTTTTGTAGAGACTTGTCGAGTCCACATTCTAGTAGAGGAAAGAGAAATAATAAAGAAAGAAACATAATAAATATGGCGATTACAGAGTAAGTCAAAACGTGTTAAGTGCTATGGAAAAATAAAAAGAGCAACACAAGAGCTGTGTGTGCTGGGTTTTTAAGAAACACCTTCATATTTAAGCAAAGAGAAATTTAAGCAAGATAAAGCCTTTACTCGGGGTTAGGTTCTGAAGTCTACAGGTAAATTAAATCCATATAATAAGAAAGCAATGATTCCACTTACTAGCTTATGACCTTGGACAAGTTGCTTAACTCCTGTGAGTCTCAATTTCCCCACTTATGAAGTGGTAAAAATAATATTTATGATTTAGGGATACTGCAAAGGTTATATAAATATAAATATTTAATATATAAAGAACAATGGCTTTAAAAAAAATCTGTAACTGGCCTAAAACACTCACTTAACCCATCATTCACATTCTCAGATGAGAGAATTAAAATATTAGTTAGGGTCTGAAGTGAGTTTTGCACACCTGAATGTCTCAAAATTAAATGACAATTTTTAGTATTATCACAGCGATATAAACCAAAAAAAGGAAGAAATATTTTTTTTCTTTGAGATGGAGGACATTTCCCCCAACTGTTAATTTTTCAACGAGAAAAAAAAAAAACAAACCAAAAACATGGCAGGGCACGAGAAAAAGTTTTAAGTGACTTATTTCAAGTAACTAATTATCTGTCATTTGTTTAACCATCCCTTGGGACAATCTGTAACCCACTCTGATAAGAAATGTGTAGAAAACAGACCTAGCTTTTTGTTGTTGTTCAATTATTAGTAGGACACTCAATGTTTGAGCTCACACAAGTATCCCTTAGGGACATGCTCTGCGTGCCATTGGCACTGTTCTTAATGGGGAAAAGCACAGAACTCCTTTAGTTCAATGCCAGAATTGTTTTATCTTCAAGTCAAAAGAACAACTATTTGGAGTAACACCAAAACAAGCATTTAACAATTACAAGCAGCAAGCTATTCATAAGTGTCACATTGTTAATGCTACTCTAATTATAAATAACCGTATTTTATCAAATAAAATATCTGCCAGCAAATTTTTAAGTCCCAGACACCTCTTTGACTGCTTTATTCCTTAACTTTAAGAAAAAAAATCTTTATTGTTTCAATTTAAAGAACCTCACTTAATTTTAAAGACTTCCTACAGAAAAGTGAGACACAGAGAATCCTTAAATTTTTAATTCATGGGTAGGTAATCTCAAAGAAAACTTACAAATCATAAACAAAGGCCTTAAACAGAATATGGTGCTTACAACAATCCTCAATGATAGTGAACCAGGAATATCTGAAGAAAGACTGCTCCCATTTTACTAACGTCCTATCTAAACTTTTTCCAAGAATGTAGTGCTTCCTTCCTGATTTAAGAAACACTCTACTGACTCAATGAAATGTCCCCTTTGCCTCTTTTTCTCCATTTCTGTTTTATTCTAAAAGCCAAGTATGACTTCCTAGGTTTCTTTTAGTGTCATTATCCATATGGTCCTTGCTCTTATTTAAAGCCTTTCCTTATACTTTACTCATTGATCCATGAAGGACCTACAAAATAAATGACTGGGCCAAATAAAGCAAAGATCAGTGTCCCTAGATTAACTGTGCTTTTTGAACGTCACACAAATGGAAGTATACAGTTAGATACTCTTCTGTGTCTGCTTATCTTGCCCAACACAATGTCAAATTCATATTTGCTGTCGCATACGGTTACTTTTTACTGCTATGTAGTACTACATTGTACAACTACACCACAATGTACCCATTTTCCTGTTGACAGACATTTGGGTCATCTTTTACTTTTAGGATATTGTGATTACAGCTGTTATGAGGTGTCTTGCACATGTCTTTTGGTGACATAAGCCTCACTCCTCTTGGGTATATACCCAGAAGTAATCATATAGTAGACACATTCCCAGCTAGATACTGCCACCAAAGTTTTTTTAAATGGTACAGGCAGTATTTATGATTTAGTCATGCTGGTGAGTGAATGGTATCTCACCGTGGTTTCACTTTACATTACTCTAGTGAATAATCATGCTGAACACCGTTTAGTGAACATTCAGTCATCTGAATATTCACATTTTTAAGGCCCCTATTCACCTTTTATGGTCCTTTTTTTTATAATAAATTTATTTATTTTTGGCTGCATTGGGTCTTCATTGCTGCACGTGGGCTTTCTCTAGTTGTGGCAAGTGGGGGCTACTCTGTGTTGCGGTGCGTGGGCTTCTCACTGCGGTGGCTTCTCTTGTTGCAGAGCACAGGCTCTAGGCACACGGGCTTCAGTAGCTGTTGATCCAATTTTCCTTTAGCAGTTAATGCTTTTTTGTGTCATTAAAAAAAAAATCTTTCCTACCACAAGGTCACGAAGATACTCTCGTATGTTTTCTTCTAGAGGCTTGTTTCAGCTTTCACTTCACCCTTCTTTCTCCCATTATCTCTGATCTTCTCTCCCAACCCTGCCAAATCTGTCACATGCAAGGCTGTGCTTGCATGTGGCAACATAAACTGAATTCATGAATTTTTATTATATGTGCTATTATTTTGAAAATCAAATAAATCCCTGATAGTAAATAATAAATGATGAGGATGGGAATGTACCCCCTTTCAGAATATACTATAATGACTCCTCATGGAAATGTGTTATCACTTTAGTTTATAATAACACGCCTCCAGTTTTAACCGATACACGCAGGCACCTTCTCTTACTAATATCAACACGTTTCAACAACCACAGGTCGACATTTCTGAAAAACAAGTGCTGAAATGATAACCAGACTAAAACTGAACATATATTGACCAGGTACCAAATGAACTCATTTCCTACTACTGAACTTACCTGAGCTCAGTGGAATCAGCTATTTGATAGAAAGGAATACAGAACTTCCATTTACTTCTATAAATATGCATCAGCCTTTGATTTTGTCTTTCTGCAAATTTCAGGGTATGTCTGAATTATACATATCTCTCCTCACAGTGAACTCACAATAAGAAAAGGATGAAGAGGATCAGATCAAGTACCTTAAACATTTGTGCCAACTAATTTCCAAATGGTGATAATCACCAAGATCCAGTACTCCATGAAACATTTTAAATGAATATATAAAACCCAGTACTGGGCTTCCCTGGTGGCGCAGTGGTTGAGAGTCCACCTGCAGATGCAGGGTACACAGGTTCGTGCCCCGATACGGGAAGATCCCACGTGCTGCGGAGCAGCTGGGCCCGTGAGCCATGGCCGCTGAGCCTGCGCGTCCAGAGCCTGTGCTCCGCAACGGGAGAGGCCACAACGGTGACAGGCCTGCATACCCCCCCCAAAAAAAAAAAAACCCAGTACTACCCTAAACTTCCCAGTATGGAGTCACACTATGAGATGTTCTGGTCCACCTGGCTAAGTGATACATTCTCTTTCATGAACTTACTATGACTGAAACTTAGAGCCACAAGTGAGATATACCCATAGTGGGAAATGAGTTATGCCCTGTCTGAATACACCCTACTCACTCAAGAATAAAGTTCATCTATTAAGTCTGTGTCCTCAGTTACTTTATTAAAATCTATCAATGACTGACACTACACAGAAAAATAAAGCCCATTAAGCATTTTTAGATTACCTTTACATTACTATTCAGAAGTTCTAATTTTTTAAAGCCAGTAATATTTCACCAAGCATCAATTAAAATTCAGGCAATGCACATAAATCATGTAACGAACTATTTTTTTTTTTAATGTTACCACTACAATGAACCTAGACTCACCTGTAGTAATGGCTCTGTGGAACTGATGCATGTCTTCTCCTGAGAGCTCCTGGGCTACCTGCAATATCTTTTGTCTGACACCATCCAATTTAATTTCTGCTTCAGTCAGTATTTCGTCCATATAAGGAGCACTGTAATCAAGATATTGGGAACTTTTAAAACATCAGTCAGATGTTTTGATAGTGAAAAACTGAGACAATCTACATATCAATTAACATAGGGCTAAATAAATATCCTATGTATCTGGAAACTTCTAACGCAAAACTACAACTATAGTTTACTAAAAAAAGGTTAAAAAATAAAAACACGGAAAAATGCTATAATATTAAGTGAAAAGAGAAGTATAAAAAGTTGTACTTATAATATGACCATAACTACAAGAAAAATTACGTTCATAAAAATATGACATCTGGAGACGTCTACTTTTAGTCAGGATGGAGTAACATGGACAGGATTTATCATCCCACCATAAAACTAAACAACTAAAGAGAAATACATATATACAAAAAAAATGGTTTTCAGACGTTGGGCAACAGGCAGCATGGGACAGTGATCCCTGAGAGAAGGGTGAAGAAAAGGACATGTGCCTTATTATGACTGTCCCATCTAACTGCCTGCAGTGCAGTGACAGTGCAGGGATGAGAAACTTAGGTGGACCCTGGGAGTCTCCCTGAGCAGAGGGGGAGGAAGTGGGAGTTCAGGTTGGTAAAGATGGCTAAAACTTGCAAGGCAGAGTAACAAAGGAGAAAAGTACACACAGAGTTTTTAGAGATCTACACAGGGGACCCACTCAAGTCTGCAGCTGAACTCTGATCAGTGCAGACTTGTGAGGAAACTACCCAAGGCTGAAAAATGAACCACCCTAAGTGAGCACGCAAAATGATATACAGAGCTCACACAAGAGCAGAAATAGTTGATTCATCACTGGCAGACTGACACTACAAAAAGTATTAAAGGAAGTTCTCTAGGCAAAAGGAAAATGGTACCAGATGAAAATCTGGATCTGTACATAAAGGAATAAAGGACACCAGAAATGGGAAATATATATATAAAAATATAATTTTGTAATTTTTTAAAAATCATATTGTTTAAATAAAAATAATAATGTATTATGGGGATTATAAATAATATAGAAGTAGCATATATTTCAAAGTAGCACAAAGGCCAAGCCTGTAGAGGTGAAATGGAAAAGGAAGTATACTATTATAGGGTTCATATACTATAGGCAAAGTGATATGCAAGCTGTCCTTACCTTGTACAGTATCACATTAACTGAAAAGTGTGCTTATCAATATTATGACCTCAATTTGCAAAGTAAATGTTACCACAGAACCATGCAAAAGACAGACATGATTCTGAGATGCACAAGTTTCAATTAACACAGTATTGTGCAAAGTAAGGACAGCAGACTGTGACAAGTCATATATTATAAACCATAAAACAACCACTATAAAAATAAAACAAAAAAGGTACAGCTAATAAGCCAACAAATAAGATAAAATGGAATTATAAAAAATAGTCTTCACAACATTGTAAAGCAATGATACCCCAATTTAAAAAATATATATTCAACCCAAAATAAGGCAAAAAAGTGGAAAAGGGATCATAAATTTAATTCCTACCATATCAATAATCACATTAAATGTGAACAGTCTAAACACCTCCATAAAAGGCAGAGACTGGATAAAATGGATAAATGGATAAAAAAGCAAGAAAGACAAAAAATCCTCTTTAAATATAGACACAAATAGATTAAAAGCAAAAGGACAAATAAAGATATACCCTGTTAACACTAATCAAAAGAAAACTAGAGTAGCTGTATTAACAAAGTAGAATTCAAAACAAAGAATATTTCCAGGGATACTATCATAAAAATAAGGGTCAATTCATCAAGTGAACAGAACAATCCTAAATATTAATGCATCAAATAAAAGAGCTTAAATACATCAAGCAAAAACTAATGAAAGGGCAAAAAGAAATAGACAAATCCACAAGTATCATCAAGAGATCTGAACCTCTCTCAGTAATTGTAGAGCAAGTATACAGAAAATCAGTAATAACACAGATGATTGAACATCATCATCAACCAATTTAATTGACATTTATAGGACACTACACCCAACAATAGCAGAATACATACACTTTTCAAGTGTACAAGGTCCAGACAGACCATATTCTGAGCCAATACCAAGCTTCAGTAAATTTAAAAGAATTCAAATCATAAAAACTATGCTTGGAAAATTCCTAAATATTTGGAAACAAAATAACATCCAAACAACCAATGGGTCAAAGATGAAATCAAAATGAAAATTAGAAAGCATTTTGAACTGAATGAAAATGAAAAAACAACATACCAGAATTCGTGGAATGTAGCTAGTGTACTTAGAGCCATAAAAGGGAAATTTATAGCACTAAATGCCTATATTAGAAAAGAAGAAATGATCTGTTTCTTCTTTGTGATCTCAGCTTCTGTCTTAAGAAACTCTTTAGAAAAGGAGTAAATGAATCCCAAGTAAGCAGAAAGAAGGAAATAACAGAAATCAATGTGTCAGAAAACCAAAACATACAGAATATCAATGAAATCAACAGCAGTCCTTTAAGATCAATAAAATTGATAAACCTCTAGCCAGACAGATCAGGAAAAAGAGAGGATACAAATTACCAACTTCAGGAATGAGAGAGAGAACATTACAACAGATTCTACAGAAATTAAAGGATAATAAAAGAACATTATGAGATGAAATGGAAAAATTCCTTGAAAGACCAAACTACCAAAGCTCACTAGCAGAGATATCTACCTACATCTATTAAAGAAAATAAAGTACAGTTAAAATATGAAATCTGCTCATTAACAGTAGTTATCTTTATGTACTCTAGCTGATTTCTCTCATAAAGTATTTTTACTTTCTGTAGTTTATAATTTTTCTGAAGTTTACCCTTTTCTCAGTTTACTAATCAAAATATATGTATAATATGGACACAATTATGATAAAAAAGTATAAAATATGAAATCTGCTCATTGATAGTGGCTATCCTAGTGTATTGTCACTGACTTCTTTCACTCAGTAGCTTTACTTTTCTGTCATTTTGTATTTTTCTAAAGATTACTATTTTCTAAGTTTACCATAATGCATATTTATTATTTTTTGGTGGACAAATATTTACAAGATGACTGTACACAATAACATGGCTTTTTCTAAAATATTAAGTTCTCCTGTCACAGTTCTACTATTTCTTTAAACTGCTGAATATTGAGAGCAATTGTTTTAAAACTGCAATTTCTAGTGGAAAAAAGTGTTCATAACTAACCAGATCAGTGTTGCTTCTTTCCATAATACAAGCTCAAGTGTGTACAAGCTATGTGAAAACTGGTTCAAAAAACAAGCAAAAACTAATTTTAGAGTCAAGGATGAAAAAGAAAATGTTAACAGTGCCACATTCCAATAAACCTATATATGGCAAATTTGCTTCCACTTAGTGGAATAAAAATTAAAGCATTTCAGAATTACCTTAAAAGTTATAAGTGAATAGAATACTTCAATAATATTTTAATAATAAAAAGCTCATAAATTATATTTGGTCTTTCTTAAATACTTAAAAGACACATGGTGGGAAGCCCATCATTGCCATCCTTCTACAGGCATTTGGAATTGGTAATGTAACAAGAATCTCTCTTTGGGAGTTACAGGGTGGGTGATTTCTACCCCCACGTAGAACAGAGAAGCAAAGAAAGCTAGTCAAATGAAATATGAAGCAAACCACGATAAGAGATGGAGATACCCAACTGCATTCATATAATATTCCTGAATCTTCTTTCTAATTCACTCCCTTCCTCTTAATTTAGGCTACTTTAAGCTGGCTTCTTTTACTTGCAACAAAGAAATCTATTAAATATACAGAGCCTACCTAGAAAAATATTAAAGTCCTAGAGAACGAATGTCACAGAGCTGAAGGTAGAGGAACTTTCAAAGAATTAAGTAGTCAACACTATCACATGCTGCAAAAATGTGAGTCAGAAAAAAAGCAGAAGAGTGTGTACTAGACTCAGCAATGTGAAAGTAACAAGGGCAATTTCAATTCTGTGAGGCAGAAAGCCACAGCGCAATGATCTGAAAAATGAATGGGAAAGTAAGTTAAGCAGAATATAACATTTATCTAATATTAAAATTTCTGCACACATCATCCAAGGAAAGCTTTAATGTAACAGGTGCTAGTAAGCCATTAAAAATTTAATATTTCACAAACAGTAGCTCTATCTTGGTGAACGACCTTAACAGAACATAAATCCCTAGCTGTTCTGAAAATAAGAATTGGTCCCTATTTTTATTAAAATGTTTATTCTTAAAATCTACCTGCTACTAACGTCCTCTGACCCCAGTGTTCAAAAAAAGTCAGCTAGTTACTGTCCACTGACTTACGATATATATTAAATACGATATATATAAAACACGTATGAAACTGTATCCAACTGTGACAAATTTTGAAGATATTTACTCACCTTGTAATCCTGTGGAGGAGAAAAATTGTCCTTTTACTTTCAACAGTTATATCCCGACTAAGTTTCACAAGTCTCTCGTATTTGTCATGTCTTGCATCAAGTTCCTGTTGAAATGCTAAGAACACATTATTATGAACATAAGCATGCTTATTCTGCACTTGAAGCCTATCAAACAATATTGGAGAAACCACCTTATATACTTTTAAAGTACTTGGAAATCAAAGACTGCTACTAACCGAGGTATTTTTTCTTTAAGTAGAGGCACGCCTTCGCTGGATTTTACCACTCAGAGGCTCACAGTGAGACATGTATTTTGTAACAAGTATCTGTTCTAATAAACATGAGACTTTTACCACAAAATTATCACATAACTACCTACGAAAACTACTTTCAACTACCTCGCTAGGTTATGTAAAGTTATTTTTAATTACCTTACCATATACAATAAAAATATCTACAAAAAATAAACTGGAATTTTAAAATTAAGTTTATAGGGCTTTCCTGGTGGCACAGTGGTTGAGAGTCTGCCTGCCGATGCAGGGGACACGGGTTTGTGCCCCGGTCCGGGAAGATCCCACATGCCACAGAGCGGCTGGGCCCGTGAGCCATGGCCGCTGAGCCTGCGCGTCTGGAGCCTGTGCTCCGCAACGGGAGAGGCCGCAACAGTAAGAGGTCCGTGTACCGCAAAAAAAAAAATAAATAAATAAAATAAAATTAAGTTTATAACCCCTTAAGAACATCAACTTTCTGAATTCTCAAGCCCTAGTTGTTGAAATACCCATAAACCACTTACTTATCTTAATAACCACTTTATTTTAGAAGCACTGTCACTCCAAAGACCTAGCAAGTTGCCTGTCCTATAGGGAGCAATCCACAGAGGAATTCTGAATACAAAGGTTTATTCAGAACCTGACTTAACTATGAACCAAATTAGTAGTTGACAAAGACCTAAATACATCTGGTCTTTTATTACTGAGATAATAATTAGGCTAGGATTTTGCCCAATATTTCAAGACAATGAAATGTATTCACTATTTATTTTGACTACATTAATGAGCACTGTGAATTATATACTATAAATACAAAGTTAAGGCAATTTCTACCCTCAATGAGCTCAGTCCAGTATGAGACAGAGATGTAAACAAAGAATTAAATGTAATCATGCTATAATAAATATATAGAAAAGGTTCAGTAAAGCAGGAACTACATTTCTCTTGTTCACTATCAACACATGCCAGAACATAGATGCTCAATAAATATCTCCTGACTGAATGGATGGACGTTCAATGAATGCAATGTTTGTCACCAAGTTTGCTCGGGAGGAAAATCCGAAAGGCTTCAAAGGGAAGAAGCTACTTGACCTGGGTCTTGAAGAAAGCTACAGTACACCAGGTGGGCAACGGGTCACCAAGTTAGAAGCAATTCCAAGCTTAAAGAACTATGTGCACAAAGGCAGGTAGAAACATAAAACAGCAAAATATGCTTGGAAACAAGCAGCTCAGTATGGGGTGTGTGAGAACATACCGGTGGGGAATATTGGCTTGGCCAAAACGTTCGTTCGGTTAATGAATACGTTGCTCAATAAAGTTCTTGGTGAAAATGAAAAATGCCTTTTATAGTTACTTAAAACCGAATGAACTTTCTGGCCAACTCAATACTTGCCCCAGTGTACCGATAGTTTTTCCACTGAGTATATAGCTCTATCAATATGCTTTCTGCTCAATTACAACTAGTTGTCTTACACCCCTGAAGATCACTGTATGTGCTGTGGCAGTTCTAAAATATGTCCACAAATCACCTGATACCCCTCCCTTCAAAAAGAGGAACCTAATTCCCTTCCTCTTAAATATGAGGCAGAGTTTTAAAACTACCTCATTTGTAACAAAAGAACTGTAGCAAAAGTGACAGTGTATGATGTCCAAGATCAGGACATACGAGAATTGTGGTCTCTTTCTCTTCCTCGGTCCGGGGGAAGCCAGATGCCACGAGGACACTCAAGCAGTACTATGGAGGGGTCCATGTGGAGAGGAACCCAGAGCTGGCTGTTGGCAGAAGGCCTACCTTGCCGATAGCTGTGGATCCTTCAACCCAATTCAAGCCTTCAGATGGCTGCACGTTAGAACCAACAGCTAACTAAGCCCCCTCTCGGATTCCTGAACTACAGAAACTGTAAAGAACAGGGTGCTGGAGTAATTCCCTGGTGGTCCAGTGGTTAGGACTCCGCACTTCCACGGCAGGGGGGCATGGGTTCGATCCCTGGTCAGGGAAATAAGATCCTGCGTGCCATGCGGCATGGCCAAAAAAAAAATAGGATGCTGGGCAGAAGAGTTAGGTGCATTTTGTTTTATGTTGAGTTTTGCAACAGCTTGCCCAAGTTAATATACTGAGAAAAGGGGAGCTGTGAACACATGTACATGTACGATTTACATGTACATGGATTCCCACTCTCTGCAAAGTGCTGCAGTCAAAACAAAACTACAGGCCCTGTCTTCAAAAGTCTAGCTGGGAAAACAAAACCAATACACGTTAAAAATTGAAAAATTAAATACACGTACATAAACATCTGTTTTATATATATATATATACACACACACACATAGCTGATACATATACACATATATATACACTTTAAACATACACCTAATGAAAATACACATATATACCTGATACATACACACACACACACACACCCCTGGGGGGGGGGTGAGTATATATATTTATCAGGTCCACAGTAATTTTTAGTTACGTGGCACGTCTGATGTTAATTAACTAATGTTTACCTGCGAAACTGTAATGGGAAAAAGAATCAAGACGTCTGTAATCTCAACTCTGAGGGCAGACCCAGCACTATGGCAAAGCCCCCGGGGAAATTCTCAGAGGCTGTTTTCACGTGCATAACATGGCTAATCGATCCTTCTTACAAACTCTTTAGTTCTCTTCCCTTCGCCAGCTTACATGACAAGAGAACTTACATTTGAAGGCCAACATCACAGGTGAAGAGGAATTAACATCCTTCCCTTCTCTTCTCTGGTTATGTGGGAAATTGTCATGCTTCCTTTTCCTGAACCCTCCTGATCCTTACGTAGAGAAGGAGAAAAAGGTTGGACAAGGCTCTTCCATCGCCAAGGAGCTGACAAAACATGACACAGGCAAACCCCTCCCTTCCTTTAAAACCAGGCACCCCCAAGGCCCTCGCCACAGAGGCTTCCTCAGCAGACGACAGAAAAGCAACCCTGCCTTCTCCCCCCCAAACCTTACGCTCACCCAGGCCTCCCCCAACAAGTACCTTGATCTGGCACAAGGTGGGGCAATTACCGAACTAAGATAAAAACGGCTCGAGGATTAAAAACAGAGAGGCGCAAACAGGGCCAATGTGGCCGGGAAATCACCAGGGCCGCCGCCCCTCCCGGAGCCTGCGCGGGGAGAGGGCACCTTTAAGGGGTGGGAAGTGGAAAACGCGACCAAAAGGCTGGATGAGATAAATAAATAACGCCCAAAGCCGTTGAGGACGCCACCTTCTTTGCTGCTCATGTCGTCACGGCCTACGGCGAGAAGAGACGACACTCCGCGCCTCGGGGCGTGCACGATGCGTACAGCAGCGGCCGAAGACCCTGAAGCGCTAACCTGCGCAGCCGGCCGACGTCGACGCCCCGGCCGGAAGCGCACGCCCGCAGCCACTCAAGCTTCTCCCTTTTCCTCATACACTTCCGGCCGCGTCCCAGTCCCGCCTCCGCTGGCTCCGCCCCGCGCGTGGCCCGGGGGACCTCGCGCCCTCGAGCCGTTGTCACGCCTGCCCTCTGCTGTGCCTGAAGATAGAAACGACTTTACACGCTTCTCTGTATGAGCCGTCCATTAAAAAAGACGATGCATCCCCCTGAGGGTGAGAGCAGTGTGAAGGCGGGAAAGCGACGAAAGATGTACGTGATTTTTTTTTTTTTTTTTTCTCAAGGCACCTTTGGAGCACCCTCGCGTTCCCTCGGCGTGGCCCCCGCCTCCCGCGCGGTGCATAGTGGGGGGTTGTAGTTTGCCGCTGGAGCCGGCCCTGCAGCGTCCGGGGCTGGTAGGTGAGGAAGGGATCAGCGTCGCGTGTCCTGTGGGATGGTCTTCTTGGGATCGAGGCGGAACCTTACAGAGTTAGGAGTCTTTAATTTTCCATTCCTGGCGGTGACACCAGAAGCTTAGGTGATGGAAATGCGCAAATCAGTCAGTGGAAGGCGTTGCTGGTACTTTCTCCGCTGTGTCCCATTTCCGCCCCCCCGCTCCGCCCTGTCCCACTTTACCTCCCTCCTCCTCCGTCCTCCGCTGGGCTCCTCTCCCGCCTCCCCGTAGCCAGACTGCCTACCTTTACGGTGGTCTCCGCCGCTGAGTGGTTGTGTGACCTTGAGAAAGTAATTCACTCCTAGCTCAATTTCTTCATCTGTAAAATAGCGGTAAAGTAGGACCCGCCTCGTAGGATTATTGGATCACCAAATGAGTTACCACTAAGGCGCAGTCTTTGGTATAGTAAAGGCTCAGTTAAATACTAGCTATGATACCCTTGTCCCACCGTCGCTTTCCAGAAAGAACATGCTCAAGATGGGCAGCTAACTGGCGCGCCAGCATCCTCTAGATAAAAGCTCAGGCGGAGGCTTCGTTAGTTGGGTGGCCTAGGGCTGGTTGGGAAAACACAAATACTATATCTTATTACGTTTTCCCTAAATAGACTCCATATTGTAGGCACTTGTACACGCAGTCTTTCCTCCTTGTAAATTTAGGAACAAAGGCCCAGTAAATGAAACAACTTGGCTAGAATATGGCAGTGATTTCAAGCCCCTGACAGGCCTGTGTCATAGGAAGGTAGTTTGCTCTAGGTAATCTTTAGGGTCTCTTCCCACTCGAGCCAGAAGCTTGCGAAGCACCACCCATTACATCTCTGCAGCTCTTTGCATACATGTGTTGATTAGCCAGATTCCTTGTGGATAAATCAGGCTCCAGAGGACCTGGGCTGAATTCTTGTTTTGCTGATGTTGGGCATAAAGTTCTCAGTTTGTAGGAGGTCTGACCCTGCTCACCCCTTATCCACCAGTGGTCTTCTACTCTTTGCTTAGAGGTGACGTGACCATGGGAGAAAAAAAAAAAGACAACTTTCATATAATTGTAATCATTGTAATGTGACTCCTTTTACATTCAAGGAAGCCAGTAAGTTATGAACATTCTGAGAGTTAATGCTTACTTTAACTGTAGTCTGGGAAAAGGGTATTTTCCCTCACTCTACTCGTATAGCAGCTCTCAAGACCTCAACTTTCCAAACCCTGGATCCGTCATTATTTTCCTTCAGTAACTACCACTCCTGTTCAACTGTCCATCTACGGCTGTGCTTCTTGAACTGCTTTTTACTGCTTTCCCCTAAGTATTAGGCCTAGAACACTAAGTTGCACAACCTGTAATGACTCCGCAAAGTATCAATACTTAATGGAGGTGAGGCCCACGAACACTTTCCCAGCACTCATTTGCATATGCAGTTACCCAGGTGGCCCAACGGTAGCTACTCCTTTGTCAGGAAATGCCTTTCAACCTGTGTGGCAACCTGCAGAATGCATCTCCACCCTGTCTCCTTGTTGTATTGCTTCAAATGCACACATGTACGTTTCGGAATTTGGTGGAACGTATTTTCTTTTGTTTTTAAGGTGGGGAGAGGAAGGTAAAGGTTTTCAGTAAGATTCCACTTCTGGGATGGTGTTTTTTCCTCCTCACGTTGCATTCTGATTGCCCACATTTGACTCTGACTAAAGCTCTGCGCCTTCTAACAGCACCTGTTTTTATTCAGTCTATAAATCCTCACATTTGTCACCTTTACAGAAAAAAAATCAATACCGAAATTGGTTTTGGTTATTTTAAAAAGCACATAATCAAGTAAGAGAAGAAATACAGGCCCTCAAGAGATTTTCTGCTCTAGCATTTACTTTATTATGTACTTATTACATAAACTGGGGACGGGGTGTCAGGGAGCTGGGCGGGCACAGGGAATCATGAGAAATTGCCAGAACCTTGAGTGACCATTTCTAAAATGATAACCATAATATTTAAAAGATACCTGTAGGGTCGGAAGAGGTATTGTGAAGTGTACACATACCATTTCACAGATTTATTTTTTAAGCAATGCTAGGACGTAGTAGGAGAAAATTGATGTTCCAGATCTTTTACTGGAGAAGGAAGCTGGTATTTGAGGAAGTAAAAAGGGATGGGCAAAACCACAATGAGATACCACTTCACATCCCGCTAGGATGGCCATAATCAAAAGTAACAGAAAATAACAAGTGTTAGTGGGGATACGGAGAAATTGGAACACTCATATGTTGCTGGTAGGAATGTAAAATGGTGCAGTCACTGTAGAGGATGGTTTGGCAGTCTCAAAAAGTTAAACATGGAATTGCCATATGACCCAATAATTCTACTTCTAGATGTATACCTTGTACACAGATGTTCATAGCAGCACCATTCACAATAACCAAAAGGTGGAAACCACCCAAATGCCACCAGCAGATGATTGGATAAACAAAATATGGTATATCCATGCAATGGAATATTATTTGGCAACAAAAAGAAAAGAAATACTATCCATGGTACAATATGGATACATTATACTAAGTGAGAGATGTCACTCACAGAAGACCACATATATGATTCCATTTATTTGTAATGTTTAGACTAGACAAATCCATAGAGACAAAGTTTCATTACTTAGGGCTGAGAGCAATGGGGCACAGGGGATAGAAGGGTGATAGCTAAAGGGTATTGCATTTCTTTTTGAGGTGATGAAGATGTTCTAAAATTGACGGATGATGGTTGCACATATCTGTGAACGTGGTAAAAACTATTGAATTGGATGAACTGTAAATAGGTGAATTATATCTCAATAAAGCTGTTAAAAAATTTTAAAGTGTGAAGGGAAACAATCTTCAAATCCAGTAAATATATACATGTAGGTATATAGACATACTTCAATGTTATTAGGGAAAAGCATTAAGCAAAATACCTTAATTTTTAATAATCTGTAATAAAATATAAAGTATTTTTCCTTTACAGATTATATAATCTTCAACAAATACTTCTGTGAACAGTTTATGCCTGGCAATTTGATTTGTGCCATTAAGGGCACAACTATTTTCTTATTTATTCAACAAATATTTATTGAGTACCTACCATGTCATAGGTGCTATTCTAAGCCTTGGTGATCCCTAATCTTACGAAGTTTATTTCCTAGTGAGAGGAGACAGATGAAGAACAAAATAAATAAGTAAAGTATTTGGCATTAGAAAATGATCATTGCTATAAAGAAAAATAAAGTGAAGGAAAGAAAAAGAGATGAAGGGTGAGGTTTCCTGCGGTGAGGGTAAGAGTTGCAGTTGAGAGAGGATGGTCAGAAAAGGCCTTGCTGGGAAGCAGACATGTGGCCACAGATCTGAAGGAGGAACAAGTGGGCCACGCAAATATCTGGAGTATTTGCCCTGCCCTGTGTGCCAGTAATTCTCCCTGTTCACTCCTACATATATTTTTTATTTGTTTGTTTTCTTCTGCATCATTCCCATCACCATAGAAACTTGGTGTCATATAGCACCTGGCACATCATGGATATTCAATATTTGTTGAATGATTGAGCAAATGGTATGCAAATACATTATCCCCATCTGTAGATCACCTTTTATTTTTGTTATAGTACCTGGTTGAAAGGAAGTTTTAAATATTTTTTTAAAGATTCTTAAGCCCATGTAGCTTCTTTTTCATTTTTTAAATTTTGTTTTATTTAATTTATTTAGGCTGCTCTCGGTTTTAGTTGCAGCACGCAAGCTCTTAGTTGCGGCACGAGGACTCCTAGTTGTAGCATGCGGACTTCTTAGTTGCAGCACGCATGCGGGATCTAGTTCCCTGACCAGGGATCGAACCGAGGCCCCCTGCATTGGGAGCGCAGATTCTTACCTGCTGGAGCACCAGGGGAGTCCCCTAAATTTTTAGTATAGTCAAATTTATCAACTTTTTCCTTCAGATTTGTGTATTTGATGCCTTGTTTAATAAAGCCTTTCCTACATTAGGTTATGAAAATATCGCCATATACTTTCTTGTAAAAGTATAAAACTTGCATTTTCCATTTAGGTTTTTAATCTACCTGGAATCAATGTGTATATTAATAAATGATTATCTCACAACCACGTATTGACTCTTTTATCATTTCTCCACTGATTTAGAACACCACAGTGGTCATATATCAAGATTCCATATATGCCTGGGTCTGTCTCTAGGTTTCTTGTTCTGTTCCACTGGTCTATTTGTTTATATACCGATAGCACATTCTCTTAATCACTATAGCTTTGTATTATGGCTGGATCTCAGGAAGGCCAAGTTCCCCTAGCCTCCTCTCCCTACAATATTCTTCACAGTTTTTGCAAGTGGTCTTTACTCTTTCTTATCAGTTTTAACAGTTTTTAAAATTGAGATGTAATTCATATAGTATAAAAGTCACCCTTTTAAAGTGTAAAATTCAGTGGTTTTTAGTATGTTCACAAGGTTGTACATCATCTATTTAATTCCAAAACATTTTCTCTACCCCAAAAAGAAACCCAACCCCATTTACAGTCATACCCCATCCTCCCTCCTCAGCCCCTGTCAACCA